TGGAGCCTGTGCTATTGCGTACATATCACGGAACACAGTGAGTCAGAGGTGATCCTGTTCGCAGATGATGTTAAAACTAACGAGAATAGTATAGACAGGTGAGGTACAGAAAATGCTACAAAGGAACCTGGAAAAGCTTCAGGTCTTGTCTGAAAAATGGGTGTTAGAATTTTATCTCAACATATGCAAAAATGTGAAGATTGGAGCCTGGCAAAGAAAACTGCAAACGGAATATAGGCTCGGAGGGGCAAAAGCTGCAAACCTCAGTAAGGGAGAATATCGGGGTGAGCATTGTAACGAGCATATCACCTGAGGCGTATATTAACCGAATAATTGCCGCAACAAATGCACATCTGGTAAATAACGAAAATAGCTTTACGAACCTCAGGAAGGGGTCATTCATGTCACTATATACAGCATATATCAGATCCATATTGGAGTATGCAGAACCTATGTGGAACCCTCGTCCTGGTCAAGCATCAACATGTCAAAAAATGGAGTGTAGAGGGTTGCAACTAGACAGAGCCACAGAGACAGAGCTACAGAGACAGAACTACAGAGACAGAGCCACAGAGGGAGAGAAAGAGGGAGAGGGGTTGGTGCCAGAGCTGAGAGGGTGGGTGAGAGATAAACTTGAGGTGATGTGATAGTTATACATAAAATACTGAGGAGGAATTGTTAGGGTGGACGGACATATTGTTCAAGAGGCGGGAAAAAAGAACACAAGGGCACAGTTGGAAGTTCAAAACACAAATGAGTCACAAGGATGTTAGGAAGTATTTCTTCGGCCTTAGAGTGGTCGGGAAATTGAACGGTTGGATACTAAGGTATCCAGGTTCATACTTAGCTTACGAAGAGGTATGATGGGGCTCTCGAAGCTAGGAGAGAGTGAACTCGGTAGCGACCAGCGACGAGGTTGGGCCAGGACCTGAGGCTCAACCCCTGAAACCATGTAGCGGTAAGTACATATAGATGAGCGCGCGCGTGAACACACACACACACACACACACACACAACACACAGTAAAGTTATAAGTGTTATTAATGTAGTAACTTATAACAGCTGTGTCTTCATTACCAAGCTGTGGTATTGTGCTGTCTTACTCACTAAGCTTTACTCCCCTTCACGCTGCTCATGTTTACTGCAATGTTCAAGCTTACTACAGGTCACAAGCTTACTGCAGTGCACAAGCTTACTGCAGTGCACAAGCTTACTGCAGTGCTCAGGCTTACTATAGTGCTCAGGCTTACTATAGTGCTCAAGCTGACTATAGTGCACAAGCTTACTGCAGTGCACAAGCTTACTGCAGTGCTCAGGCTTACTATAGTGCTCAGGCTTACTATAGTGCTCAGGCTTACTATAGTGCTCAGGCTTACTATAGTGCTCAGGCTTACTATAGTGCTCAAGCTGACTATAGTGCACAAGCTTACTGCAGTGCTCAGCTTACTACAGTATACCTGAAGTATATCTGGAGAGGGTTTCAAGAGTCAACGCCCCTGCGGCCCGGCTTATTGCACAAGCTTACTGCAGTGTTCAAGCTTACTGTAGTGCTCAGCTTATTACAGTGCTCAAGATAACTACAGTGCACAAGCTTACTTCAGTGCTCAGCTTACTACAGTGCACAAGCTTACTGCAGTGCTCAGCTTGCTACAGTGCACAAGCTTACTGCAGTGCTCAGCTTACTACAGTGCACAAAGCTTACTGCAGTGCTCAGCTTACTGCACTACTCAGCTTATCGCAATGCACAAGCTTCAGTTCTTGGTACCTTGGGATAGGGAAGGTCTCTATCCTGGACGGGATGTCACTGGTTGCTTGCCTAACTAATAAGTAAGAACTCATTATATCTTTTGCACAAATGGTGGGGATATTTCCCCTTTCCTCTAAAATTACTGACACGGCTGATGACTTTGTCTAACGTGGAAAATAAACTCTCAGTAGTTGTGCTTGATTTATCATAATGATTAATGTAACGAGAGTAAATTATTGATTGTAACAAGTTGATGGTGATAATAATAATAATAATAATAATAATAATAATAATAATAATATCATTATTACTATTGTTATTGTAATCTTGATGAAGCGCTAAACCCACAGGGATTATACAGTGCCTATGGGAGTGTGACATAATCTGATTTGATCCGAGGAAGAGGTGAGCGTAGCTCCATTTCCTGGGATCAAGAACCCTCCATTAGCATCAACATTCGTCTTGCATAATTTAACATTGTTTTTAATCTTATAATTAATTTTGTAGTATATCTTTGAGCATTTTTTTGACTTTGAGATATTTCTGAAAATTTTGGACCGCATGCCACAGCAGTATACTCAGATTTTGATCGTATATGTTTATCCAAAAATAATTTCCAGTTTAGTCACGTGACTATTGGGTCATAAATTTGCATTTATATCAAATAAAAAGGTAAGTAAATACACTGGCGGGTGTATATCTCAGTATATATAGAGATGTGTATAAATCCATATATATATATATATATATATATATATATATATGCAATAAGATGACAGTAAACAGTATGAAGGACCTGTCTAGTTGGGCCGGCGGGCGTGCTGTCTCGCGTCAGGTATTTCGTTGTTGTGGGATCTGATAGTGAGGTGAGGGCTACCCCTTTATATACCTTCCTTTGATGCTTTACTTTCATTGTTCCTTGATAATGTGAGTAGTCACAAAAGTGCTTGAAACTTCTCTATTCTTTCACAGTGGTTGTTTTGCATATATATATACACTATATATATATATATATATATATATATATATATATATATATATATATATATATATATATATATAATATATATATATAATGCGTGTGTGTGTTTTCTCCTATTTGAACTCACTTATATATTGTTACAGGTGTCGAATCTCAGCTCCTGGGCCCGCCTTTCGTCTTACCGCTTTCCAAATTGACTCTTAGTCTTATGGGCCCTGTCGTACCTACTCTTATAACTGTGTATAAAGCCTGCCTACAATACTTCCAGATCATTCCCCTTCCCGACCACTTTCAGGCTGAAGGCATACTCCTAACAGGAAGCTGTGCCCCCGAGTACCTGTTTCTCGCCTTTCAGACAGCATTAAGTACCTATGAGTATCGTGAATGTTGTTACCATATCTCCCCTAATTCTTGTTTTACAATATGGTAAACTTCACTTCAGTCAGCCTCTCTTAGTAGCTAGTGTTCACTAGCATCTAGTAACTAGTGTTCATCACTAGCATCTAGTAACTAGTGTTCATCACTAGCATCTAGTAACTAGTGTTCATAGCTAGCATCTAGTAACTAGTGTTCATCACTAGCATCTAGTAACTAGTGTTCATGACTAGCATCTAGTAACTAGTGCTCATAACTAGCGTCTAGTAACTAGTGTTCATAACTAGCATCTAGTAACTAGTGTTCATAACTAGCAGCTAGTAACTAGTGCTCATAACTAGCATCTAGTAACTAGTGCTCATAACTAGCATCTAGTAACTAGTGTTCATCACTAGCATCTAGTAACTAGTGTTCATCACTAGCATCTAGTAACTAGTGCTCATAACTAGCATCTAGTAACTAGGGCTCATAACTATCATCTAGTAACTAGTGTTCATCACTAGCATCTAGTAACTAGTGTTCACAAGCATCTAGTAACTAGTGTTCACTAGCATCTAGTAACTAGTGTTCATCACTAGAATCTAGTAACTAGTGTTCATCACTAGCATCTAGTAACTAGTGTTCATAACTAGCATCTAGTAACTAGTGTATAACTAGCATCTAGTAACTAGTGCTCATAACTAGCATCTAGTAACTAGCGTTCATCACTAGCATCTAGTAACTAGTGCTCATAACTAGCATCTAGTAACTAGTGCTCAATAACTAGCAATCTAGTAACTAGTGCTCTAACTAGCATCTAGTAATAGTGTTCTAACTAGCATCTAGTAACTAGTGCTCATAACTAGCATCTAGTAACTAGTGTTCATAACTAGCATCTAGTAACTAGTGCTCATAACTAGCATCTAGTAACTAGTGCTCATAACTAGCATCTAGTAACTAGTGTTCATAACTAGCATCTAGTAACTAGTGCTCATAACTAGCATCTAGTAACTAGTGCTCATAACTAGCATCTAGTAACTAGTGCTCATAACTAGCATCTAGTACTAGTGTTCATCACTAGCATCTAGTAACTAGTGTTCATAACTAGCATCTAGTAACTAGTGTTCATAACTAGCATCTAGTAACTAGTGTTCATAACTAGCATCTAGTAACTAGTGCTCATCACTAGCATCTAGTAACTAGTGTTCATAACTAGCATCTAGTAACTAGTGCTCATCACTAGCATCTAGTAACTAGTGTTCATAACTAGCATCTAGTAACTAGTGCTCATCACTAGCATCTAGTAACTAGTGTTCACAAGCATCTAGTAACTAGTGTTCACTAGCATCTAGTAACTAGTGTTCATCACTAGCATCTAGTAACTAGTGCTCATAACTAGCATCTAGTAACTAGTGCTCATCACTAGCATCTAGTAACTAGTGTTCACAAGCATCTAGTAACTAGTGTTCACTAGCATCTAGTAACTAGTGCTCATCACTAGCATCTAGTAACTAGTGCTCATAACTAGCATCTAGTAACTAGTGCTCATCACTAGCATCTAGTAACTATTGCTCATCACTAGCATCTAGTAACTTGTGCTCATAACTAGCATCTAGTAACTAGTGCTCATCACTAGCATCTAGTAACTAGTGCTCATCACTAGCATCTAGTAACTTGTGCTCATCACTAGCATCTAGTAACTAGTGCTCATCACTAGCATCTAGTAACTAGTGCTCATAATTAGCATCTAGTAACTAGTGCTCATCACTAGCATCTAGTAACTAGTGCTCATCACTAGCATCTAGTAACTTGTGCTCATCACTAGCATCTAGTAACTAGTGCTCATCACTAGCATCTAGTAACTAGTGTTCATAACTAGCATCTAGTAACTTTTGTTCATCACTAGCATCTAGTAACTAGTGCTCATCACTAGCATCTAGTAACTAGTGTTCATAACTAGCATCTAGTAACTAGTGTTCATAACTAGCATTAGTAACTAGTGTCATCACTAGCATCTAGTAACTAGTGTTCATAACTAGCATCTAGTAACTAGTGCTCATCACTAGCATCTAGTAACTAGTGTTCATAACTAGCATCTAGTAACTAGTGCTCATCACTAGCATCTAGTAACTAGTGTTCATAACTAGCATCTAGTAACTAGTGCTCATCAAATAGCATGTAGTAACTAGTGTTCATAACTAGCATCTAGTAACTAGTGCTCATCACTAGCATCTAGTAACTAGTGCTCATCACTAGCATCTAGTAACTAGTGTTCATCACTAGCATCTAGTAACTAGTGCTCATCACTAGCATCTAGTAACTAGTGTCATAACTAGCATCTAGTAACTAGTGCTCATAACTAGCATCTAGTAACTAGTGTCATAACTAGCATCTAGTAACTAGTGCTCATCATGATCTAGTAACTAGTGTGTTTATTACTAGCATCTATTTAAACTAGTGGCTCATCACTAGCATCTAGTAACTAGTGTTCATAACTAGCATCTAGTAACTAGTGCTCATCACTGCCATGTTTTATATTAAGCAAATCTTCTAACCAGTTATTTTATTTGTTACAGATTTGGAAAACGTAGTGAATATGTCGCACCAGCTGATGACACCATGGTGAGTGGTGGTAGTTGTGGTAGTGGTGGTAGTTGTGGTAGTGTGGTAGGTTGCTTATTGGTTAGGGGTTCTTAAATGGAGATATCGAGGGTTGAAGGTAGACACACTTGTTGGATGGTAACATATATTGTCAGACTGTGATGATGGAAGTGGAGCCCAGCCTCTGCCTGTCTTAGCCTGTCTAGGTCTACACGCCGACTGAGAGGGAGGCAGAGGTACGAACGTACACATGCGCATCCCGTGACGTCATACAAAGTCACAGGCCTAAAAGGGATCTCCTATCTAAAGCACATGGATGATACTATATGCTATGCTATATAACACAGGGATCAGCAACTATGCTGACAGTGGTAGTTGTGGTGAGTGGTGGTAGTTGTGGTAGTGGTGGTAGTTGTGGTAGTGATCAGTGGTGAGTGGTGGTAGTTGTGGTAGTGGTGAGTGGTGGTGAGTGGTGGTAGTGTGAGTGGTGGTAGTTGTTGTAGTTGTGGTGAGTGGTGGTAGTGGTGAGTGGTGTAGCTGTGGTAGTGGTGAGTGGTGGTAGTTGTAGTAGTGGTGGTAGTTGTGGTAGAGATGAGTGGTGGTAGTGGTGAGTGGTGGTAGTTGTGGTAGTGGTGGTAGTTGTGGTAGTGGTGAGTGGTGGTAGTTGTGGTGAGTGGTGGTAGTTGTGGTAGTTGGTGAGTTGTGGTAGCTGTGGTAGTGGTGAGTGGTGGTAGTTGTGAGTGGTGGTAGTTATGGTAGTGGTGGTAGTTGTGGTAGTGGTGGTAGTTGTGGTGAGTGGTGGTAGTTGTGGTAGTGGTGAGTGATGGTAGTTGTGGTAGTGGTGAGTGGTGGTAGTTGTGGTAGTGGTGAGTGGTGGTAGTTGTGGTAGTGGTGAGTGGTGGTAGTTGGGCAGTGGTGAGTGGTGGTAGTGGTGAGTTGTGGTAGTTGTGGTAGTGGTGAGTGGTGGTAGTTGTGTAGTAGTGAGTGGCGGTGTTGTGAGTGGTGGTAGTTGTGGTAGTGGTGAGTGTGGTAGTTGTGAGTGGTTGTAGTTGTGGTAGTGGTGAGTGGTGGTAGTTGTGGTAGTGGTGAGTGGTGGTAGTTGTGGTAGTGGTGAGTGGTGGCAGTTGTGGTAGTGGTGAGTGGTGGTAGTTGTGGTAGTGGTGAGTGGTGGTAGTTGTGGTAGTGGTGAGTGGGTAGTTGTGGTAGTGGTGAGTGTTGGTAGTTGAGTGTTGGTAGTTGTGGTAGTGGTGAGATGGTAGTTGTGTAGTGGTGATGGTAGGTAGTTGTGGTAGTGGTGAGTGTGGTAGTTGTGGTAGTGGTGAGTTGTGGTGTTTGTGGTAGTGGTGAGTGGTGGTAGTTGTGAGTGGTGGTAGTTGTGGTAGTGGTGAGTGGCGATAGTTGTGAGTGGTGGTAGTTGTGGTGAGTGGTGGTAGTTGTGGTAGTGGTGAGTGGTGGTAGTTGTTGTAGTGGTGAGTGGTGGTAGTTGTTGTAGTGGTGAGTGGTGGTAGTTGTGGTAGTGGTGAGTGGTGGTAGTTGTGGTGAGTGGTGGTAGTTGTGAGTGGTAGTGGTGGTAGTTGTGGTGAATGGTGGTAGTTGTGGTAGATGGTGGTAGTGGTGAGTGGTGGTAGCTGTGGTAGTGGTGAGTGCTGGTAAATGGTGGTGTGTTGAGTGCTGTAGTTGTGGTAGATGGTGGTTGGTGAGTGCTGGTATTTTTGGTAGTGGCGAGTGCTGCTAGTTGTGGTAGATGGTGGTAGTGGTGAGTGCTGCTAGCTGTAGTAGACTGTGGTAGTGGTGAGTGCTGGTAGTTGTAGTGGTGAGTACTGGTAGTTGTGGTAGTGGTGAGTGCTGGTAGTTGTGGTAGATGGTAGTAATAGTGAGTGCTGGTATTGTGGTAGATGGTGGTAGTGGTGAGTGCTGGTAGTGTTGGTAATTGTGGTGGTGCTGGTAGTTATGGTAGATGGTCGTGCTGGTAGTTGTGGTGAGATTTTGGTAGTAATGGGTAGTTGTGGCTATTATGGTGGGTGGTGATAGTTGCGGTGGATGGTGGTGAGTTGTGAGAGCTGTGGTAGATGGTGGTAATTATAGTGAGTTGTGGTGGATGGTGGTGGTTGTGGTGAATTGTTATAGACGGTGTGGTAGCTGTGGTGGATTGAATGTACTTTTGATGGATTGAGTTAGTTGTGGTGGATTGTGGTAGTTGTGATGGATTGTGGTAGTTGTGGTGATTGTGACAGTTGTGGATTGTGGTAGTTGTGGTGGATTGTGAAGGTTTGGGGATTGTAATGGATTGTGGTAGTCGTAGTTGATTGTGGTACTTGTGGTTGATTGTTGTAGTTGTGAACTAGTAAATTGTGGGAGTTGTGGTGGATTGTGGTAGTGTTGTTGCTCTGGTGAATTGTGATTAATTGTGGTAGATGTAATGGATTGTGGCAGCTGTAATGGATTGTGGTAGTTGTAATGGATTGTGGTAAATGTAATGGATTGTGGTAGACGTAATGGATTGTGGTATGACCCCCCTACGGGTTTAGTGTTTCCCCGTTAGTGGTATTATTATTAGTAGTAGTGGTAGTAATATTTATATTATATAAAATATATTAAACTCTTATGTATATATACGGAGATACATACTTCTCAATTAATATATATATATATATTTATAATATATTTATATATATTATATATATATATATATATATATATATATATATATACCTCTCAGTATATATACACAGATATGTACTACACTGTCGTCTCCGTGTATATCCTCATGATAAACCCTCAAATATTCTTAAATATCAGAATGGGACACATTTCAGCTTAAAACGAACATAATAAGAATCATCCCAGGATAAAACAGAAATATAATGCATTAAATATGATCCCAGGATAATAAAAATCGCAGGGAAAAAAGTATAGAGTTGTAATATATTTAAATTTCATATATAACTGGTTCTGTAATTGTGGGGAAAATAAGGTGAGTTTCCTCACAAAAATGGTTGACCAGACTCTTGTACTAACACTCAGTTTTTCTTTTGTACAGATGGAAGCAAGTGAGAGAATCCTGGAGTCTCTCTCCCGCAGGAGGTGAGGATTTTGACACTATTATCACCACCACTAGCACCACTACCAGCACCACTACCTGCACCACCACTAGCACCACCACTAGCACCATCACTAGCACCACTACTAACACCACTACTAACACCAATGCCTGCCTCTCTCTCTCCTCGCATCAAATTGCTAGCACTTGATCTAACTCATCACTCGCTTCCTTCTCACTCCTCATGTTGACATTATCCTTAAAACTTTCTCCTGACTCTCCCGTCTCATTTCCTTCCTTTATCCGTCTCTCTTCATTTTGATCCGTCCTATTTCCCCTTTTCTTGAAGTCAAAATACTGAAGTAGACTACGAATCTACTCATCTACATCCATTGTTCCTCCTTTAAAAGGTACGTAAGGTCCTCCATCTTCTAATATCATGTTCATTTTTCCACTATAATCTACCTTGTCCATAATTAATATCGCATTTTCTTTGTCTGCTTCGTAAGGTGAAGTCCAGGATCTTTCCTTAGGTCTGATGCCGTGCTCCTTCCTTAAGTGAATGTGACCTGACCTGACGCGACTAGGTTGGGTCATTGGCTTAAGCCAATGACCCAACCTAGTCGCGGTAGGAGACTTGGACCTAGTCCGGTAGGAGACTTGGACCTGCCTCGCATGGGCCAGTAGGCCTGCTGCAGTGTTCCTTCTTATGTTCAACAAATATCTGAGGACAGTTGTGTTGTAGAGCTCTAAGCTTTGCTCACACCTTTTCAACATAATTATCATCAAATATTTGTTAACTTATACCATGAATTAAGGAAAGATCCTGGACTTCACCTTACGAAACAAAGCAAATACGATAAAAATTATAGACAACGTAAATTATAGTGGAAAAATGAACATGTTATTAAAAGACTGGGGAACTTACGTGCCTCTTAAGTATTTCAAGGGTCTTATTCAACTCCCTCTGTCGTACTGAAGCATTTGAATCCTTTAGCATTTCCTTTCCTCACTAAGTGGCGGTGAATCCCAACTCCAGCTATATGAATCCCTAGTCAACATCTCAAACGAGTGACGTATCAGCTGGTTCGAGATCCTGCTTCGACAACACGACCATCAAACAGAGAGATCCAACTCCTTTGAACCAGCTTTGGCGCCATCAAGAGAGATCCCTTTGAAACAGCTTTGGTGCCACCTACAGAGCGATCCAATCCCTTTATAGCAGCGTGGCGCCATCTACCAGCGGCGTCGTTCTCCACGTGTTCTTGATACCTATATAGTTATGGCAGTCTTCAGGAAATAAAGCACATTGTGTATTAAATGTGGTACAGCCATGAGTTTCTTTACATTCCTCCTTAATAGACAGCAAATACAAACATTATAAACCATACCCCGGCTGGGATTGAACCCGCGGTCAGAGAGTCTCAAAACTCTCAAGGCTCTCTGACCGCGGGTTCAATCCCAGCCGGGGTATGGTTTGTTTGCAATCGTGTCATTACGATTTCGTGAGTCACAAACATTATATATATATATATAGTTTTCACGACCTCACGAACCTTTCTAGCAGAGCTGTGGTACCGAGTCCTATTGGAATCCATAACTAGTAGCAGTTAACAGTAACTAAACCAGGATATATATATATATATATATATATATATATATATATATATATATATATATATATATATATATATATATATAATATATATATATATATATATATATATATATATATATATATATATATATATATAAAATATATATATATATATATATATATATATATATATATATATATATATATATATATATATATATATATATATATATATATATATATAATATATATATATATATATATTATATATATTATATATATATATATATATTATATATATAATATATATATATATATATATATATATATATATATATATATATATATATATATATATATATATATATATATATATATATATATATATATATATATATATATATAATCGTTTCTCTGAACGAATCTGCCTGAACTTCCTACTCATTTCTGAAACACTGCAAGCTCCTGATGTGTTGATAACAACATGAAAGGCCTAGAACTATGCTTTAATCGCTAAAATGCGGTTCACGGGTGTATAACCGAGAGGTTATACACCTGTCAGTGTATATACATGCGAAGGAACATTATATAAACGAGGTGATTAAAACACCCATCCAACCCTTCCCTGAGAGGTCAAAATGCCACACCACACTAATCTACCAGACCAGCTGGACTCGTATACCACCTGTAGATGGTTCTGGCCTACCCTCTTTACAGCTGGCTAAGATAATTTGCAAGACCTTGCTCACAGCTGGCTAAGATAACAATAATAATCTTTATTTCTATAAGTACATGATACAACTAATACAGACCATAGCTGACATCAATGGCTTAATTATAGAAAGCTGGTTATGTAGAGCATTTCCCGCAACTTAGGTTACTCTTGTCCCCCCAGGATGCGACCCACACCAGTCCACTATCACCCAGGTACCTACATACTGCTAGGTGAACAGTGACAGCAGGTGTAAGGTGACTAACACCCAGGTACCTACTTACTCCTACGTGAACAGGGACGGACAGCAGGTATAAGGTGACTAACACCCAGGTACCTACTTACTGCTAGGTGAACAGGGACAGCAGGTGTAAGGTGACTAACGCCCAGGTACTTACTTACTGCCAGGTGAACAGTGACAGCAGGCGTCTTAAGCAAACACGCCCCAATGTTTCCAGCCATACCGGGATCGAACCACGGACCTCAGTGTGTGAGGTGAGTGCGCTACCAACCCAGCTATGGTATTGTAAAGTGTGGCAAATGCATAGCTAATATCTAGCTTCAAAAAAAAGTGGCTTATTGAACTGTGTACAAATGTTCATCTCTTTCCCCTAGGCAATGTATGACTCCTGCGGGTTTAGCGCATCCCCCATGATAATGCTGACTCCAACAGCACGTCAAACCTCAGAACTAGCACTCTTGGTCCAAGGAGTTAGAGCTTCTCTTCCTTAGATCAAAATTGATTACCTTCCATTCCTTCTTGGCAGTTTTTGACCCTTATGGGTTTAGTGCATACCAATAAATATAATGGTAATAATAATGCTAATAGCAATAAATAATATATATATATATATATATATATATATATATATATATATATATATATATATATAATAACCACACACAGACAAACCATACCCCCGGCCGGGATTGAACCCGGGGTCATAGAGTCTCAAAACTCCAGCCCGTCGCGTTAGCCACTAGACCAGCTAGCCACAATAAGATTCATCCAACTAGGTATATTTCTACACCATAGGAAGGTTAGCACAGGCACCACTGTGACCACAAATGCAAGTTTTTACAGACGAATCTCCAGCTAGCGTGGCCGTCTGTAAAAACTTGCATTTGTGGTCACAGTGGTGCCTGTGCTAACCTTCCTAGGGTGTAGAAATATACCTAGTTGGATGAATCTTATTGTGGCTAGCTGGTCTAGTGGCTAACGCGGGGGCTGGAGTTTTGAGACTCTATGACCGCGGGTTCAATCCCGGCCGGGGGTATGGTTTATTTGCAATCGTGTCATTACGATTTCTTGAGACACACAGACACATATATATAGTGAAAACTGGATTGCTACACCCGTAGAGTTTGATAAGATGACACCTCCCGTTTTCTATAGGAAAAATGCTCATGATAGTGAGAGGCTCTTGATTAAAGGAACTGGAGCTGCAAATTTGCTCCTGTCAAACATTATAACCTCCAGGTTTTTGTTGTACCTGTATCTCTCTCTCTCTCTCTCTCTCTCTCTCTCTCTCTCTCTCTCTCTCTCTCTCTCTCTCTCTCTCTCTCTCTCTCTCTCTCTCTCTCTCTCACTAGGTCAGGTGAGGTCACAGGCCTGGCAGCACGCCTCCACCTGTCTATCGTCTCTGGGTCTGTCTATCCCTCGCTCATCACATCACTTTCACTCACCAATAGACATTTCCTGACATATGTCTGCGAGGGGTGGTGCACTCACCTATATGTGGTTTCAGAGGTCGAGTCACAGTTCCCGGCCCTGCCTCTTGGCTGGTCGCTAATACCTGGAGTTTACCTGGAGAGAGTTCCGGGGGTCAACGCCCCCGCGGCCCGGTCTGTGACCAGGCCTCCTGGTGAATCAGAGCCTGATCAACCAGGCTGTTGCTGCTGGCTGCACGCAAACCAACGTACGAGCCACAGCCCGGCTGGTCCACTTTCTTTCCCTGCTCCAAGAGCTTTATTGTACCTCTTAAAGTTATGTATGAAACCAGCCTCTTCCACATCACTCTCCAAGTTGTTCCCCCCTCAAGGAAGGTTCCTTGATGTTGGTGAGGGGCTCTTGATTTAGGGAATTGGATCTGTGCTCCACTTCCCCGAATTAAGCCTGAATACCTTCCACATCCCCCCCCCAGGCGCTGTATAATCCTCCGGGTTTAGCGCTTCCCCCTTGATTATATTAATAATCCAAGTTGTTCCACTGACAACTCTCAAGGCTGAAGAAATACTTCCTAATATCTTTGTGACTAGTACGAGTGTTCAACTTCCAGTTGTGACCCCTTGTTGCTGTGTCCCATCTCTCAAACATTCTGTCCCTGTTTACCTTATCAATTCCTCTCAGTATTTTGTACGTTATCATATCACCCCTGGTCCTGTCCTCCAGTGTCATCAGGCTGTGTTTTAACCTATTACCGTATGTCAGGTGTGTGTACTCACCTGTGTGGTTACAGGGGTTGAGTCACAGCTCCTCTCTGTGTACTCACCTGTTTGGGGTTGCAGGGGTCGATTCACAGCTCCTGTGTGAGTATTCTATTGTAGTTGCAAAGGTCAAGTCGTAGCTCCTGGCCCCGTGAGTACTCACCTATATGTAGTTGCAGGGGTCTATTCACATCTCCTGGCTCCGCCTCTTTGCTGGTCGATACTAGGTCCACTCTCACCCTGCTCTAAGAGCTTTATCGTACCTCTTCTTAAATCTATGTATGGATCCTGTGTGTGTGTAAATATGTAGTAACTACCAATCCACATTGGGTAGTTACTACATATTTAATTACTATTGTCATTACCAATACAAGAAAGCACTAAACCCACATGATTCACTTCTTTCTTATTAATCCTGCAGGTTAATAAAATAAAATCAGGGAGGCCTGGTCATGGACCGGGCCGCGGGGGCGTTGATCCCCGGAATAACCTCCAGGTAACCTCCAGGTCTATTTGTCCTTGTGTCTGTAAGAGTGCAAGTACCGAACCCGCAGGGGCCATATTGAAACACATGGGGTATGTAAGGTAATCGTTTTGATCCGAGGAACGGCGCGGCAGCTCCAGTTCCTAGGATTAAGAACCTTTTATTAAAGGGCATCATGTGGCAATAATTTATTTTATTTATTAATACAAACCTAACAAAATAACAAGTCAATACAACACCTATTTAAAATATCACTATTAAGTAAACAATAAAATGTTTTTCTGCACTATTAGTCAAAGTATCATATATATTAACAACTGTAAAGGTTTTTTTTATTGATTATCAAGTAATTAATAAAAAATTATGTAAATAAAGGCTCTAATTTGATCAGCAAATGGCGAGTGTAAACAAACAAGTGACGCCCCTCGCTGTCACTTTCTTGCTTCTCCGTCCACATTTGGGCTTCATTTCAGGTCTGGAGACCGGAGAGTAGTGCTCGCTGGCGCCCAGGTGGTCCTGGACCTTAAACAACATCAAGAGGAAGACATAAGAAGAGTTGATAAGGCTGTCAGGGTGGTGGAAGCTGCGTTATCATGGAGAGAACTTCTGTTGTCACTCCCAATGTGGACTTGACTAAGGTCTGTGATGGTCTGGGGTGTACTGGAACTGTGGTCTGGGGTGTACTGGAACTGTGGTCTGGGGTGTACTGGAACTGTGGTCTGGGGTGTACTGGAACTGTGGTCTGGGGTGTACTGGAATTGTGGTCTGTGATGGTCTGGGGTGTACTGGAACTGTGGTCTGTGATGGTCTGGGGTGTACTGGAACTGTGGTCTGTGATGGTCTGGGGTGTACTGGAACTGTGGTCTGTGATGGTCTGGGGTGTACTGGAACTGTGGTCGTCTGAACTGGTCTGGAGTGTACTGGAACTGGTCTGGGTGACTGGAACTGGGGTCTGATGGTCTGGTGTACTGTGAACTGGTCTGGGGTGTACTGGAACTGTGGTCTGTGTACTGGACTTGGAGTGTACTGGAACTGGTCTGTGATGGTCTGGGGTATACTGGAACTATGATCTGGGTATACTGAAACTATGGTCTGGTGTATACTAGAACTATGGTCTGGGGTGTACTGGAACTATGGTCTGGAGGTATGTGTAACTATGTCTGTGATGGTCACAGTGTACTAGGAACTGGGTCTGTGATGTCTGGGTTACACATTTGGCTAGGTGCTACAATGTGGTTGAGCTGAGCTCTGTGACCCTTGATCAGTAATACTGGACTTGATCGTATTTGGGTGATACATTTTGGTCTGTGTTGATTACTAATTCTTGAGACGGGTATACTGACATCCCAGGTATACTTGATATGTCAGATGGTGTATTACTGAACATGTCTGGGTTGTATGTCTTGTTGGAGGTATTGAACCTTCTACCTACAGGACTGCAGTCCTGCACAGTCTGGCTACACCCAGTGATAATGTGGTAACAGGACACAGGGAGTCAGGTGACTAAACGACCATTGGTAAGCTACTTCTGCTTGGTGAACAGGGACAGCAGGTGTAAGGAAACATGCCAGAACATTACACCTTGCTGGGGATTGAAACCTGTCGTTGTGTGAGAGATGAGGCTGCTACCAACCTACCCACTTCCCAGGTGCCATAGGACCTCTATGAGGTTAGCAGTTTCCCCTGATTAAAATGCAATGAAATGTGGTAATCTGGTAATACAAACATTGGCATCAAGGTATAGAATTGCTTGACCATTTGTGAATGGGTTAATTGATGATTATGTGGAACAAGGACAAGTAGGGCCATTAAAGATAATTCCTCAGAAGCTTTAAAAATAGGTTTGACAAATATGTGGGTGGGAAAGGGTTGAATTTGAGAATAACCTGCCAAGTATTGGTGAGAATTATTATTACAATCAAAATTAATGCTAAACCCACAAGGGTCATACTGCACAGCAGTATAGGTCAGAAGGACTGCTGCAGTCTTTCTCTAGTCTTGTGTTTTTAAGTACACAACTATCACTGCTTTACATTTTTGTGTGTAAGGTTGGGTGCATGCATCAAGCAGAATTAAGCGAGGCTGTATAGTGTATATCGCTGTTACTCTTAACTTGATCATTATTTTACATTTATAGTACACACAACCCATGTACACCATGGAATAAGTATTTCTTGTGCCTGATATTTTGGGAGATATTGGAGAAAATAATACATTTTGGTCATGCAGATAATCTGAGCCAACATTGGTTAGTATTGTCTTGCACTTGGCCAAATATAAACTAAGACTCTTATTTACCAATGGTGGAGTAAGTTTTAAGCTTGGTTAGGTGGGTTTCATTGCTGGTTATTAAGTGTAAAAGGTTAAAAAAACAAAATTGCAAATGTAAAATTTACTTAATACAGTGGACCCCTGGTTATCGACCGGTTCAGTTATCGGCCAGCTCGGTTATCGGCCGGTTCAGTTATCGGCCAGCTCGGTTATCGGCCGGTTCAGTTATCGGCTAGCTCGGTTATTGGCCGGTTCAGTTATCGGCCAGCTCGGTTATCGGCCGGTTCAGTTATCGGCCAGCTCGGTTATCGGCCGGTTCAGTTATCGGCCAGCTCGGTTATCGGCCGGTTCAGTTATCGGCCAGCTCAGTTATCAGCCAGCTCGGTTATCGGCTGGTTCAGTTATCGGCCAGCTCGGTTATCGGCCGGTTCAGTTATCGGCCAGCTCGGTTATCGGCCGGTTCAGTTATCGGCCAGCTCGGTTATCGGCTGGTTCAGTTATCGGCCAGCTCGGTTATCGGCCGGTTCAGTTATCGGCCAACTCAGTTATCGGTCGGTTCAGTTATCAGCCAACTTGGTTATCGGCCAACTCGGTTATCGGCCAGTTCAGTTATCGGCCAACTCGGTTATCGGCTGGTTCAGTTATCGGCCAACTCGGTTATCGGCCTGTTCAGTTTTTGGCCAACTCGGTTATTGGCCAGTTCAGTTATCGGCCAACTCGGTTATTGGCTGGTTCAGTTATCAGCCAACTCGGTTATCGGCTGGCTCAGTTATCGGCCAACTCAGTTATCGGGCAGTTCAGTTATCGGCCAACTCAGTTATCGGCCGGTTCCGTTATCGGCCAACTCGGTTATCAGCCGGTTTTGGGCGCCCAGTTGTCAGCCGTTAATTCGGTTATCGGCCATTTGGGAGGCATCCAGCCACCGGCTGGGGCCACTTGCCAGTCAGTTTGGTTTTGTCTCTGGGCGAGTGAGGAAGCTTCTGCTCATTCTTCCAAACATTTTGCTATAATCCATTGCTTTTGTGGCTATTGATCGAGTACAACTGCAAAATAAGCAACCATGAGCCCAAAGAAACACGTTACATACTATATGAAAACATGCAATGTTTATATCGATGTATATTTAATAATAATCACTGGTACATTAAATGTTTTATTTTACGTTAATATAGACATTTTCATTAATCCATCTATTATATCTTCATCAAAATTATGTAAGAAACATGTTACATAGCATATAAACATGCAATGTATATTTAATAATCGCTCTTTGGCACATTAAATGTCTTATTTTACGTTAATATAGACATTTTCATTAATCCATCTATGATATTTTCTTCAGAATTATATAAGAAACACATTACATATGTAGCATATAAACATAGCATATAAACATGCAATGTTTATATGTTATCGAGTGGAGAGTGGGATGGAGAGTAAACATTACGTTTTCTCTGATGCAGCGTTAGAGAAAACTGTGAATCTGGCGACTGGTGCAGTAACCGCCCTTCATATGCATTTGTTTACAAATCTTGGCATGAATTATTCATTACTTCTTCCTTTGTTTATGATGGCATCTAAAGGTAGTTGTTAGAAACAATTAAACTCAGTGAACATGGTAATAATATGGCTGTGTATTGTAACATAGCTGTGTAGTGTAGCCCGGGGGAGGGGCTACACATGTGTACTGTACCTACATCTACTGCTACCTGCACTGACTTCCTACAAATAAATACTACTCTCTTCTTGCCCTACACTGTTTTTTTTTTTTTTTATATTTTTGTCTGGAACGGATTAATTGTATTTCCATTAATTTTTATGGGAAATATTAATTTGGTTTTCTGCCATTTCGGTTATTGGCCAACCTTCTGGAATGGATTACGGTCGATAACTGAGGGTCCACTGTACTGTACAGTTCAAAATGCAGGGGTATAAGGTATTGCCGAAATCCTCCGAGGAGCAGTTGTCTATTATTACTGTCTCCTTAAGGGGAAGTTCTTGATGCTGGTGAGAGGCTCTTGCTCTAGGAAATTGAACTGTGTTTCAATTCCTTGAATTGAACCTGAATGCCTTCCATTTCTCCAAGCGCTGTGTGACCCTTGCAGGTGTAGTGCTTTAACACGAATACACCTACCATCCGACTTACGACCGAGTTCGGTTCCGAGAAACCGGTCGTAAGTCGAAATGGTCGTAAGTCGAACTTTACTACTGAATATCAACAAAACATTTTTGTAATGACTTTATTTTATTGTTTTATTTTGGTATTTCATGTTTTACTTTACTTTTTATGTTGTTAGTACTGTATTTTATACTGTAAGGTTTAGGATAAACACTGTGTACAACACAAATAGTTGTTTATTTCCCAGAAATTTGGCATAAAAAAAACACAGTCGTAAATCGAGTGGTCGTAAGTCGAGCAGGTCGTAAGTCGGATGGTAGGTGTACATGTACAAGTGAACCCCCATATCCACTGATTCAGTATCTGCAGTTTGTTATCCTTGGTTTACTGTGTCCCAAAAATACCTCTTAATTTTGCATAAAAATGGCCTCAAAGCACAAAAGTAGAGAAGCTGGCAGTTCTTCAAAGCCTAAGAGAAGCTGTGAAGCGCTTCCCATCATTGAAAAAGTGATAATTCTCCACTTATTGTGCATAACTTATCAAACTTTATAAAAGGTATGTATAGGACCTGTATACAGTGGACCCCCGCCTTACAATATTAATCCGTTCCTGAGAGCCCATCGTAAGCCGAAATTAATTTTTTTTACCACGTGAAATATTAATTTTAATACACACAAACTGTAGAAGACATGCACAATTACTACTCTACTAAGAATAGAATACATGACACTTACCTTTTTGAAGATCTGGTGATGATTGATGGGATGGGAGGAGGGGAGAGTGTGGAAGTTATTGTTTAGAAGGGGAATCCCCTTCCATTAGGACTTGAGGTAGCACGTCCTTTTCTGGGGTTACTTCCCTTCTTCTTTTAATGCCACTAGGACCAGCTTGAGAGTCACTGGAACTCTGTCGCACAACAAATCTGTCCATAGAGCTCTGTAACTCCCGTTCCTTTAAGACTTTCCTAAAATGGGCCATAACATTGTCATTGTACAGGTTGCCAACACGGCTTGCAGTAGCTGTGTCAGGGTGATTTTCATCCATAAAGGTTTCAGTTCAACCCACTTTGCACACATTTCCTTAATCTCTTTTTTCAGTTCCATACTAATTCTCGCCCTTTTTACCACAGGAATGGCATTAGAAGCTTTCTTGGGGTCCATGGTGACTTATTTTGCAGTTGCACTGGGATAATGTGAAATGTACCGAATGTATGGGTAGATGCGACCGCATTGACTGGCTTGTAAACACTGGCACTGAGGCCACACGTAGGACGTGTCCCGGACGAATCACGTAAGGCGAATTTATCATGAAATGAGGCAAAATTTTTACGTTCAAATGCTTCATATGGTGGATTTCACGTAAGGCGTATCGCCTTACGTGAGGCGGGGGTCCACTGTATAGGGTTTGCTACTGTGTGCAGTTTCAGTATCCACGGCAGGTCCTTGAAAGGTTTCCCCATGGATACGGGGGTCCTACTGTGTATTATTACAGCCTCTTCTCACTTAACGACGGAGTTATATTCCTAAGACCATGTCGCTAAACAAATTTGTCGCTAAGCAAGGAGCATACTATAATGGTAGTGGGCTTGTGTCAATCATCTTTAATATTGCTTTAATGTCACCTTTGCACCATACATAACATTTTAAGTATATTTTTAAATATTTTATACAGTAGTGTACTGTATACAGTGGACCCCCACCTTACGAACGCATCGCCTTACATTAAATCCGCCATACGAAGCATTTGAACACAAAAATTTTCTCTCGCCTCACAATAAAAAACTCGCCTTACATGATTCGTCTGGTACGTGTCCCACGTGTGGCCTCAGTGCCAGTGTTTACAAGCCAGCCAGTGCGGTCGCACCCACACATATATTCAGTACATTTCACCTTATCCCAGTGTTTTTTGTGCTTGTAACTGCAAAATAAGTCACCATGGGCCCCAAGAAAGCTTCTAGTACCAACCCTGTGGTAAAAAGGGTGAGAATTAGTATGGAAATTAAGAAAGATTTTGTGGAATCCATTGTGCCTACTTCAAAGATTAAGGTAATGTGTGCAAAGTGGGTTGAAGTGCAAACCTTTATGGATGAAAATCACCCTAACACAGCTATTGCAAGCCGTGCTGGTGACTATTACAATGACAATGTTGTGGCCCATTTTAGGCAAATCTTAAAGGAACGGGAGGTACAGACCTCTATGGACAGACGATTCCCCTTCTAAACAATAACTTCCACACACTCCCCTCCTCCCATCCCATCAATCATCACCAGATCTTCAATAAAGGCAAGTGTCATGTATTCTATTCTTAGTAGAGTAGTAATTGCACATGTCTTCTTCAGTTTGTGTGTATTAAAATTAATATTTCATGTGGTAAAAAAAAAAAAATTCATACTTTGGGGTGTCTTGCACAGATTAATTTAATTTCCATTATTTCTTATGGGGAAAATTAATTCGCCTTACGATAATTTCGGCTTACGATGAGCTCTCGGGAATGGATTAATATCATAAGGCGGGGGTCTACTGTATAGTAATAGACAAAATAGAGGAAATCGGCTCTAATGCACATTATTAAGGTATGTATACTGGTCAGAGAGCCTGTCATAAGCCCGAGTTGTCGGTAAACGAGTACGCCACTAAGAGAGGAGAGGCTGTATTACCCTGTATATTTTTAACTCTTTTATTTGTAACACATTTCCTCTTTTTATAGGTGGAGGCGATCAATCAGAAAAGAACCCTTGCCTTCATTAATCATTGGACATTACATACTGTGGCTTTCCTCAACCAGTTCTCGGCAGTCTGTGAAGAACGACTCTTGAACCTTGATACTAAACTTCGTCGAGCTGATCACACACTTGCTATTCTTGAATCCAAGGTAGAGTTTAGATTTTTGTCATCTGATATACAGTATTTGCCTGTATATCTACATCAAATATATACTGTATACTATTTAATTTTCAGCAGCAGGATGATAGATTCATATCCCTACCAAGCATTTCTGTCAATACCCTTGTCTATTACAGTACTACATGTACGGTACATGTGTCGCCCACGTACATCACGTTGAGCTGAACCAAACCTTTTAGCAGGGTTTGCTGTTCTTTATAATAGTTATGCTTGCCTTTGTTCATCCACTTTAAGGCTATAGATATCTGGCTTTCATGGCTCTTTCAGCTATCTTCGCATTCATTTATTTGAACAGAACTTGGATACTTACAATAATTTGCTCTCTCCAACTTTTTATATATTTTACTAATTCATTAAAAAAAAGATCACATAGTCAACTTCTTCATATGTGGTTTGCATCACATTTCTAGATTAAGTTGTCTTATGTCCACAAAAATAATGGTAACATACCTCAGTGAAAACTATAAATATAATATAAAAGGAAATTAAAAAAAAGCACTGCAGAACAGACAACAAGCACCCACTGTGTATAGCTTGAGCAAATCGGTCATATTTCAGCTGTTCAGGGTGGCTTCAACAGTCACCCACATGACTGTTTTTACAACAGTGCCTTGATGTCTGTGGTCCATCAGTCTTGATGGACCAAGCATATCGACTTAATGCATCAATTAACCATCATTACACATCACCTGCATCACTACACATCAACACCACCAGCACTATACATCACCATCCCTACACATTCACCGAGTTCCAAGACTTTTTCTGCTCCTGGAGCCCTACCATGGGCCAGGCTCGTCTGGTGCTTGCCTGGTCAACCAGGCTATTGCTAGTGGTGGTTCATCGACCCACATATCCATCACAGCCTGGTTAATCTGGCACCTGGTGATACACCTGGTAATACAAAGGTAGAATCTTTGTATTACCAAGCTTTAAACCTAACACACCAGCATTTATTGTTGCGTCTTGAAATATAGACACCCAGGGTGCTAATAAATTGTTGTGGGGCTTATCCTAGAACCAGAATTTCAGTGCAAGGAACTCCACACCTCCTGGACGTACACTAGTGTTGAGTAAAAAGTATCCACATTTAGTGCCGCCTGTCTAATAGATTAAATACCTTGACAAGTAATAATTATTTAACCAAGAAAAATCACAATGATGTCAGGATGAGTATCAATCAGGAAGCCTTATCTGGGACTGGACCAAATGGTACAAGTGCTGGGTCCAGCCAACATATGGTACTTCTTGCATTAACACATTGACAAAATATAATTGAAAGTGCTAGTGACAATGTAAAATATTACAAAAAAAAAATATTTAAATTACTGAATAATCATTGCTGAGTAAGCAGTGTGGCGATGTTAACTAGATCAACACCTGATTTCTTTGTATTAGCCACCCATTCTCCTTGCATTGTAAATGATTATTGAGATGGAAGTGCTAAACCCATAGGGGTCATAAAGTTCCTTAGGGAATGGGAGATGGTTAGGTTTGATCCAAGGAAAAGGGAGGATAGGTCCAATTCCTTGGCCCAAAATCCCTTGCCAGCATAAAGACATCTACCTTTAAAAATAATTAAAATACCATGGGAAAATCATGCTACAATTTAGCATTTCAATACTTGGTGCATGCTAGATATTCATTGTTGGGATTATTGTAATACTACTTAATAATTTGTGTAAATCATAATGCATATAATTTATTTTTTCTCCAGCTAAGTTCAGTTCCTGGCCTGGAAGGTGTAGTGGCACCAACCTCTGATAGTAGCCAGGTAGCAACAAACAACACAGATAGTGCAGTTACTGAAAAGCCTGAAACCATTTCAAGCCCAAATATAGATGCCATCAATGCTACTCATTCTGCCACAGCCAATACTGAAGTGGAACCAGAAAGCACAGATGAAGCACATGAAGTAAGTTCAGCTCCTGCAGCCACACCAGTCAGTCAAGACCCGAGATACATACAGTATTTTAGGATGCTCAAGATGGGTGTACCAGCGCCAGCTATTAAAATGAAGATGTCCAATGAAGGTGTCGATCCATGTTTACTTGAGTAAGTAAAATCTTTGTATTGGGCTTGGCACTTCTATCAGCTACCTAAACTTTGTGTTTTGCTATTTTACATCGGTGTCTAACATCTTTTAATGTACAGGTAAATGGTTCAGAGAACAGACAAGTTGATAAATTAGACACATGTGCAACACTTAGGTATCTTTGTGGAATGTTTTGCCACACAGTGACTCGAGGCAGAGGGACTGACTACCTCAAACTCCTGATCTTCAACCATTCTTCTCTGTATTGAACTGAGGAAGCCACTTTGTGGTGAAACGTTTTCACAGTAAGGATAGCCAGGTGTTAAACATGAATCTGATTTATCAACATCCTCTAATGTCCAGCTTTTGTGTGTTATGGACTGCAGTGAGAATTGGTAATTAGATTCGTGTAAAACTTGTGCAGTATTGTGGTGTTTTCCTCATGGATATTCTCTCTTGTTAATCCTAGAATGAAATATATATTTTATTTTATTCTTATTCAGGATTAGCTAACAAAGTCAAGTAGTATGACTTGTTTACATTGGTGAACTGTTTTCCTAGGGTGAGATATACAGCCGTTGAATAAGTTTTTTTCTACACCATAGAATTCACAGTTAGCAGTAGCTTATCCATTGTTTTTTACAATAGCATAAATTTTCAAACCATCTCTGTTGGAATCATTTAGATAGAATAGTTAATTATGTGATTATGATTTGAGTTGCATTTGTCAAACAGAACTCTATTCATACACATACAAAAAAAGTCCATTGATGTGATAATATACAATCAGCTTAGGTGTAGTTTAAGACATAGATCCTGTATGCTGTATTATTTATAATCTTGGGAAAATATTGAATTTGTACACCTATGGAATAGGATGTAGCTCTAGTTCCTTGGATCAGTAGCCCTTCAGTATCACAGCACAGTCTTGGAAGGGACTATGTACTCTGAATATACATCAGTCACTGTTATTTACTACAGAATAATGCCTTATTCTAACAAGTTTGTTCTCTTGCAGTGATCCTAATGCAGCAGCTCCTCCTCAGGATGCTACTGTACCATCCAGACACGATAGTGACTCAGACACCAGCTCTGCCTCATCTTGGAGCGACTAATAATTTCTTTTAAGTCTAAGATGATGGCAATCAATCTATGCAACATTGGTGACAGTGGAATCACTAGATGCAAAAAAAAAAGTTAAATTGTATATATAATTAAAGTATGGTGCAGTATATTGTACATAGATGTATATGCCTGAAAATTTATCTATTACTGGTACAAAGAGGAAATTTTTTCTTGTTACACATTGGCCATTTCCCCACAGAAGCAGGTGACCCGAAAAAGAAGAAACACTTTTATCATCATTCACTCCATCTGTCTTGCCAGAGGTGTGTCAGTGCTAGTTAAAACAACATGGGATAAAGTCAGTTTTCTGAAGTTTGAAATATCTGAGTAAACTTGTTTAACTTGAATCTTATCAGCCATTATCAACACTGGGGCATCTTGCCCTCCTAAGCAGATGTAGTGTTTTACTGTGAAAAGACTGTTAGTAAAGTGATGGTAATGCTACAATTATGACACTAAATTACAGTTCTAAATAATTCCTTAACGTAATACAGTATTCAAGAGGCTGTAAAACTGGAAACCTTTATTGAGATATAATTTACTCAGAATATCAAACTTTCACTAGTGTTTAAAAAATATGTGGTTAGCATAGGTCTATATAGTCTTGCATCACTTAACAACTGGGATGCATTCTGAGAAATGCATCGTTAGGCAATTTTTTTGTTGTGCAAATATCATAGTTTCTTTTTTTTCGTCATAGATTTCCTTGTAAGCAAATAATGCACCATGAACATTACTCTCTATTAATGAAAACCTCTTGGTGTTGGGGTCCATGTTTTCAAACATTTTAAGGAGCTTGTTGAGATCTGCAAAAGCTTTTGCTAAACCCTTCATTCTAAATTTTCTTTGGGGTTCTCTTTTTATATTCTTCTGCAGTTTCCTTTTCTCTTCTCTTCAGCTGTGGCAACATTAGCAGTGGATATTTTATGCTTAGGGGCCATTATGAGTAAAACATAAGATGAAACCCAGCAGTGGGATACGGCTGGTACGTTGAAAGAAAGAAAAGAAATCCAACGCAAGGGAAAATGATACTCTCATAAGATGCGGTAAACATGAGATCCATGAGGCTGTTGCTGGCACAATGTTTTATACTGCTTTACAGTAAACTCTTTTCTTTATAAGTAAGAAGAGTAAGATAAGAGAGAGAGAATTTCATTTGGATTTTTAACTTTGCAGGGTAAGTCACCCAGGATAACACAAGAAAATCAGTGCATTATCGAGGAATGTCTGTCTTATTTCCATTGGGGTCCTCAGTTTTGTCCCCCAGGATGCGACCCACACCAGTCTACTAACACCCAGGTACCTACTTGCTGCTAGGTGAACAGGACAACAGGTGTAAGGAAATGCATTAAAATGTTTCCACCCTGCCGGGAATCGAACCCGGGCCCTTCATGTGTGAAGTGAGAGCTCTGCCAGCCAGGCCACGGGGTCACGGTACACTCTAGAAAAAGGATAAATCCATGAACCAGTAACATAATTGTTTATTATCAAGTATTATGTACTGTACATAATTGTATGTGCTATTCTTTTATGACTTGCAGCGCATGGGACCACAACCATATGTGCAGTCCATCATTGACCAAAACATCTTTGTGGTTATAGTTGGGAGAGCAGGTGATGATTAGCAAGATACAAACTTGACTGCCAGTAAAGAAGAATTTGTACCAAGGGCTATCTGAGATAAAACTAAAGTTTGCTTTGTACTAACCTACAGAACAAACTTTAGCATCTGGCTGTCAAGCCCAGAGGAAGCTGTGTGCTGGGAGGTGTGTGAGCCAGAGGTTCTACCAGCTGGAAACTTCTCTGGTTGTAGGTGATGGTATCTGTAGTACAAATTAAAGGTGATTCAAGGCTTTCTTTTCTGTTTGTCTTTTTCATGGATAACCATACTTGCCCTGGACCAGTCAATATAGTGTGAAACTGTTACAGCCTTTCCTCACTTAGCAATGTACTCGTTTACCAACACCTCGGACTTACGACGGGCTCTCTGACCAGTATTCATACCTGAATAATGTATATTTGAGCTGATATCCTCTATATCTGTTTATTTCAGTATATAGTACACTATTGTATAAATATTTAAAAATATACCAGGAATATTATAAATGGTGCAAAGGTGACAGTAAAACAATATCAAAGATGGTTGACAAAAACTCACAACCATTATAGTATGCTCCTCACTTAGTGATGAATTCATTTAACGACATAGTCTCAGGAACAGAATTTCGTCGTTAAGCAAGGAGCGGCTGTACTATGTACAACACAGGCATTGTTGAAAATGGTATTAAATACCTAACTGTTGCGCGTCTTACTCAACATGTGTTGCTCTTGGTACATCAGGCATATCTGTGGGAAAATATATACTCGTGTGAACAAATTCCTAGCTGTCTCACTCGTATATAATTTACAACAGCCACTAAAAGGAATGGTGTAGATGTCTAAATTCTCCTCAGTATTGGCATGAAGTCTCTCACCATAATCACTATCAGACATTATTAGGCCTAAGAGGGTTAATGCCAACCTCCAAAGAGAATCTAGGCATCCACACCTTTCAGTATAATGAATGTAATACTATACATAGGTGAAATGGCTAGGGATTTGTCCACAACTATATTTGCTGCACTAATAACAACAGCAACACCTGTTTTACATCATAACATGACTTCACATCATGTGAATTGGCCCACATCAAACAGTGTTATCCATGAAAAAGTCAGAAATGGAAGAAAATGCCTTAAGTCATCCCTAATTTGTACCATAGATACCACCTAGAATCCGGGAAGTGTCCAGTTGGTGAGAGCCCAGGCTTACATGTTTCTCAGTGCACACACTGCCCTCCTGACCTGACAGTAAGGTTTGCATCTCATGACAGCTAATCGTCTGCTCTTCCCGTGCTTACCCTCTACTCACTAGACTTCTGTATAGTCCTTGTGGCTTAGCGCTTCTTTTTGATTATAATAATAATAATACTCACTAGACTTGAAAAGAGCTAGGTCTCAAAGTGAAATGTTGACTTAATAAAGGTTTCCAGTTTGCCTTAGTATGCTTTTTATCGTATAATATTAATAAATATTATTATCGCTCTTTTTATGAATGTTTTACATTACTCGATACTGGTGGGGAAGTATTTGGTAACAAAGAGAGCATGTAAGATATTCAGTGACATATTAAATATTTTTCAGCCTCTTATAATACATTGTTTGAAAATACTTCTCATGCAGTCCTTGGAAATAAATTCTCAATTTTTAATAATGCATTCACAGTGTATAATATTTTTAATCTTTGATAATATGTTCACAGTCCTTCATAATATATCCACATTCATGATAATACTTTCACACTCTTTCAGTTATAATATGTTCACAATCTATCATAACACCGATATAGCCTTTCATAATATATTTAGTCTTTTATAACACCTTCAGTCTCTCATAATACTATCATAAGACTCAAGAAGAAGACAGAACTTTTAATTTTTACAGATGCACAACATTTGGTTGACATGTGAACTTTCTCAAATTCACTTAGAGAAAATTCACATGAAAACAAAATATAACTTGCATCTGTTTTGTTTTTCTTGATTTTGATTTTTGTCTTTCATAATACTTTGTTACATCCTTTCCTCAATCTCGTATGTTTCACGCATTGTAGTATCACACGTAGCTCTTGTTATAACACTGGTCCTGGATCAGGCTTCGTAGATGAAAGAAACATTACAAACTCAACAACTTTAAAGAAACACACAGGATATAGATTAGTTAGGTATCAATTTGTAAGATTTATCTGCCATCTTACACATTATACTTTCTCAGAAAACTGGATTTAGACATTATTCAGAGTATTTCGTCTATGGATAAAGATTCAACTAGGACATTTATTCAGTAAAAAAGAAAGAAAGGCAGAAATATAGCCAGGTGCATACACTTGTATTTCCCTAGTCAGCTCGTTGGTTCAACCCTAAAGCATTAACGCGTAATTATAATTCTGTATACGTACGTCGTGAGGCAGAAAGAAAGGACCAGCAATCCTACCAAGTGCAGAATGTTTAACAAGCCTCCATTTCACACTCTTATGATAGGACAGTAGGTAGCATGACTACTTGCAACTTGCATACACATTCATGCAATAAGGTTATATAGTTATGATAGTATAGTTTGTTACCAATCCTTGATGCTGAGTGGGTTTAGTGCTTAGTTTTGATGATAATAATCCTTGATGCTGAAACTATAATGTACCTTTATGATTTATTCCTTTCTTCTGTGTACAGTATATTGTCATTTTTTATAAAGAGCTTATTAATGTCTGATTTTGAAAAACAATATCATCCAAGTGGTGGGAGTCTCAGAGTTTATATGCTGATGGGAGTTTTCTCTCTTGGTGCACATATGCTGATGGTAGTCATCTCTCAGGGCACATCATTAATTGAAAAGGACACCAACACCTCTAGGAACACTGTTATAAAGCAAGGTCTGGAGCAGCTAATTATGCCCTATCAGCTGTATAAAATACCGTAGGGTAAAACAACAGAAATGCCTTACAAAATATCTTCACACTCCAGTATAATCAACTTGTATTGATCTCGCTCTAGGAATAATTGCCATTTACTTCAGCCAGAGCTACAGCCATTCACCTTGGTCCAAGAACTACGTACAGCCATTTATTTCAACCCCAGAACCACAGCAACCATCTCCACTGACTTCAAGATGAACCCGCATCATCAACCAGAATTTAAGGTAAAAAAAATTTTTTTACATAACCATGTACTCGTACTCATACCATGTACATGTACTCGTTTGACTGTCCCAACCTGGACCTAGTAGGGCAACATCAACACATTTCTAGATCAACAAACATCTCCAGTAAGGTTCCAATGAATTACAGTACTCAAATTGTCTATTTTTTGGAGATATTTTGAATGTACCCCTATTTTTCCCTTTGTTCTTCACTTTACATATCTAGTGTTATTTCAGGAACATACCCCCTCCCCCCTTGAGTGTCATAGTATGCATGTTAGTTGAAGGATGGTATCTTGAGGCTGAGATATTTATATTGTAGTGTACTAGTCAGGCATTCAGTGTTTATACATTTTGGTTTAGACAAGGGTCCCTCGGAGTTTTACCTGTTTGAAGGAAAGCTTATCCAGGTCCATTTCTGGCTGTTATTGTTATATGATGCCTATGAACAAATTGAGTTTGATCCAAGGAAGGAGATACAATTCCTTTGAAGAATGTGCTGACATCAAGACTCCTTTTCAAATGCCCCAATGCAAAAACCATTCATTCCTAGCTGGACACATCTAGCTAGTGCCACAAAGAGTAGAGTATTCTAATTGGGGGAAGTGCTAAACCCATAGGAGTCATATAGCACCTAGAAGGCATTCAGGTTTGGTCCAGGGTTAAGTATAGTTCTTGAAGTTAAGACCTCTTGGTGCAATTAAGGCAGGGGAAATCTGGCACTGTATGCCATGATCACGGGATCACAGAATATCAGGTATAATTCAACATCCTCTTAAGACCTGCAAAATGCAGTTCTTTAGAAATCAGCTAGTAGTTCATGGCTTCCCTGCCGGTCTGTCTTGGGGGACGGCCATACATTACTACTCTGATAAGGCAGGTACATTGAGGGTAACATTTTCAGTCCTAATACAGTCTGCTAGAAATGCAGTATATATATTGGATTATTATTATAATCAAGGGGGAAGCACTAAACCCGGAGGATTATACAGCGCCTTGGGGGGGATGTGGAAGGCATTCAGGCTTAATTCGGGGAACTGGACACAGATCCAATTCCCTAAATCAAGAGCCCCTCACCAACATCAAGGAACCTTCCTTGAGGGGTATATATATTGGAGGAAGGGCTGAGGTGAATTCAGAAATCTGAAGAACTCAGTCTCAAGACAAGAAGCAGGCCCATGTACTGCACAAGTGAGAAGGGTTGTATGAAGGATGTGCTTCTCCACACTTATCAGTTGATGGCAGTGTTTTGAATGGATAGTATCATTTTTAACAAGAATGTTGGATGCCAAAGCTCAGTTTTGTATAATTTTTGAAGTTTTTAAATCATTCAGACTTCTGGGCACAGACACCCAAGTAAATCACTAACAAGTAGTTCTGCTCTCTCCCACCTAAAGCAACTTGTGTGCTGAAGTTAACATGTGTATTGTCTTATTTGATGGGCTTCAACCATGTTCCTTAAATTGTTGGTAAATGGTATGGGCTGTTTTCCTTTATGCAAGCCTTGCATTCCTTAGAGAAATAGTCCAGATCATGGACCACATTTGTCAGCCATATTGAAATGAACAGTGCATGTGCCCAATATAATAGCACACAGGGGTTACATGTGGTGGGTGGAAGCAGAACTACTAAATGATTTACTGGGGCGTCGGTACCTGGTTTCTATTGCTCAAAAGCAGCGCTGTATAGCCCTTGTGGCTTAGTGCTTCTTTTTGATTATAATAATATTGCTCAGAAACCACGAGGATACATAGCATTGCCAGCATTCTCACCAAAACCTGTTACTACTCTATGAAAACTGCTCTCATGTGATACAAGGACAAGCTTAAAGAGCACTTCATTTATGCTGAGCAGGTCCTTCACAACATATAACTCTTAAACATGTACTGTAGTATGAGACACCTCTCTCATTTCCAGTAAGTTATCTTGCCACTTCTAGAGTTCACCAGACCCCCCTCTTCCCTGTATATTTGTCTTATTAGGGTAGAAAAGCCATATTTAGTAAAATGGCTCTTCAGTAGATATTTTATTGTACATCTGAGATCAGGTCCAGTTTGTATGTGATGTAGAAATTGGGTGTCAAGTAGCTGTGCAGGTCAACTACCAGCCTTTGCTTAGTCTGTTCTAATACCAAGTGGGCTACAGATGAGAATAAGACAAACATTCCACTATTTTATTTAATGCACTGATTCAAGGCATTTGTATTTTGTCTATAAATTTTATGTAAGTGTTGCTGTATCCCACAATGAGATAAGAATGGGTGTCAGTGCTGGTGCAGGAGCTTTAAATTATCAGCGTATTTAAGTTCCTGCAGAAACTAAGTATACCTGTTGAATTGACAGTTTAATGCCTACATCCAGCAGTGACCCATTCTCATCTCATGATGGATAGAACAACACTTCTGTTTTATGAAAATGGTAAGAAAATACAGATGCCTTGAAGCATCATTCACTAAGCTTTCCACTAATTTGTTCAGTCACATCAGTTTTTTTTATTATCCACACAAATAGCCAGCATTGTAGAAAGACTTTGTGGGTGGGTAGTCAGTGCCCTGCTCTTCACCTGACCTCTCACACAGTACCTGACTGCATATAAAAAGTTGATTTCCTACCTTAATTTATGTACTGTACCCGATAAGTTAATCTGTGAAGGAGCATCGTCCAATAAAGACCACATTGCAATAGTGTCTTACTTGCTTTGTCTCGAGTAAGGTTATGCTTTTTCAGAGAGCATGCAGTAGCTATATTCACAGGAAAGCACTTAACTGCATGGTGAGGGCTCTTCATCCAAGGAATCTGACCAATCTTCCCTTTCCTTGGATCAAGTCTTGATTTGCCTCCCATTCCCTCAAAATGCCGTGGAAAAGTAAATAACACACTTTGCTCGCACAGTGGGCATCATGTCAAACAGATCTATCTGACTTGATAGACAACTGTGTGGGTGAAATAGTCAAATTATTATTATAATAAAAAAGAAGCACTATGAAATAGTCAAAGGATCACATACTACATTTGTCTGTTTTTCAATGTTGGTTTTTTTTTTTTTTTTATATATATACCATTTACCTTCTCAGTGCTGTATAATCCCTTTGGGTTTAGTGCTTCCTCTTAAGATTCAATTTGTGTGAAGTGCTAAACCCAGAGATCATACAGTGGCTTGGGAATAGGATACAAATCAGGTCAGATTCAAGAGGTAGGATAACTCAAATTCCTTGGATTGTGAGCCCTTCATTGACATACAGTGGTACCCAGAGTTTATGCCATAATTCGTTCCAGAAGGCTGTTAGTGCCGTTACTGAACGAATCTGTTCCCATAAGGAATAATGTAAATTAAATTAAGCCTGTTACAGACCCCCAGCTGTATATTATTATTATTAAGGGGGAAGCGCTAAACCCGGAGGATTATACAGCACCTGGGGGGGGGGATGTGGAAGGCATTCAGGCTTAATTTGGGGAACTGGAGCACAGATCCAATTCCCTAAATCAAGAGCCCCTCACCAACATCAAGGAACCTTCCTTGAGGGGCCCAGCTGTATAGCCCTTGTGGCTTAGCACTTTTTTTTTATTATAATAATACAGACCCCCAAAAATACACTTACAATAATACTTAAATAATTGTTCGAGTTGGGAGCTGAATGAAACTGGGTACCACTGTATAGGCAACTACTGTTCAAATAAATTCTCTCGCAGATAATGACCTCTCAGTTTTACATTTAACTGAATTTTCCATATTAAAAAAAAAAATTGTCCATACATTATTGCTAGTTTTTAATTAACATTTCTGTATAGTCCTTGTGGCTTAGCACTTCTTTTTTGATAATAATAATAATTAATTAACATTTAAATGATTGAGTTTCAAAAACTCAAATTTCAAAAATATTCACTAGGTATGTAACATGTTAATGTGTAAGCTTCCATTAATTAAATAAAATAGACAAGTGGATTTTTTTTTTTTTTTATTCTGAATGACGGCTTAGAACTGGATCATCATTCCCTTTCTCTTCTTGTCTCCACCCAGTTCGAAGTGCTTGCATCTCTTAAGAGGAATCTGGCTCTTGATTCTGCACTTGTTGCATTCCATCTTTAGCACAATCTTCTTGGTAGTTTTGGCCTGAAAAGGAAAAAACATTTTTGAGTAACCATCATTAAACTAGATGAAAGATTACATGGAATCTAATCTATTGTCAAATTAACAAGTAAATGTGTGTACATTCAAAATAGTATTATTATAATAATCAAGGGGGAAGCACTAAACCCGGAGGATTATACAGCACCTGGGGGGGGATGTGGAAGGCATTCAGGCTTAATTCGGGGAACTGGAGCACAGATCCAATTCCCTAAATCAAAAGACAGTAAAACCCACATTCAGACAAATGTAATAAGACTACAGTGGACCCCCGGTATTCGATATTAATCCGTTCCTGAGAGCTCATCGAATACTGATAATATCGAAAACCGAATCAATTTTCCTCATAAGAAATAATGGAAATCAAATTAATCCGTGCAAGACACCCAAAAGTATGAAAAAAATTTTACTACATGGAATATTAAGTTTAATGCAATAGAATAATAACAATATAATAATCGACACTTACCTTTAATGAAGATCTGGTGATGATTGATGGGATGGGAGGAGGGGAGAGGTGTTAGTGTTTAGAAGGGGAATCCCCTTCCATTAGGACTTGAGGTAGCAAGTCCTTTTCCGGGGTTACTTCCCTTCTTCTTTTAATGCCACTAGGACCAGCTTCAGAGTCACTGGATTTCTGTCGCACAACATATCTGTCCATAGTGGCCTGTACCTCCCGTTCCTTTATGACATCCCTAAATTGTTTCACAACATTGTTAGTGTAATAGTCACCAGCACGGCTTGCAATAGCTGTGTTAGGGTGATTGTCATCAAAAAAGGTTTGCACTTTAAGCCACATTGCACACATTTCCTTAATCTTTGAATTAGGCAACTTCTTCAATTTCTCTCTCCCCTCCTCCAAAGCAGTTTCCTCAGGTCTGGCCTCTTGCTGTTCAAGATGATCTAGCAGCTCATCAGTGGTTAGTTCTTCAGTCCTCCTCCACCAACTCTTCCACATCCTCCCCACTAACCTCCAACCCCAAGGACTTCCCCAATGCCACAATGGATTCCTCAACTGGCATAGGATTCTCAAGGTTAGCCTCAAATCCTTCAAAATCCCTTTTGTCTACACATTCTGGCCACAGTTTTTTCCAAGCAGAGTTCAAGGTCCTCTTAGTCACTCCCTCCCAAGCCATACCTATAAGGTTTATACAATTGAGGATATTAAAGTGATCCTTCCAAAACTCTTTTAGAGTCAGTTGAGTTTCTGTGGTCACTATAAAGCACTTTTGAAACATAGCTTTTGTGTACAGTTTCTTGAAGTTGGAAATGACCTGCTGGCCCATGGGCTGCAGGAGAGGAGTGGTATTAGGAGGCAAAAACTTGACCTTAATGAAGCTCATGTCCCCAGAAAGTCGCACTGACAAGTCTGTAGGATGACCAGGGGCATTGTCTAATACCAGGAGGCACTTAAGGTCTAATTTCTTTTCAGTTAGGTAATTTTTCACAGTGGGGGCAAATGCTTGGTGTAACCAGTCATAGAAAAAGTCCCTAGTGACTCATGCCTTACTGTTTGCCCTCCGCAGCACACACAAATTAGCCTTGAGGACATTGTTTTTCCTGAACACACTGGGAGTTTCAGAGTGATACACCAATAAAGGCTTCACTTTGCAATCACCACTAGCATTGGCACACATCAACAGAGTAAGCCTGTCTTTCATAGGCTTATGTCCTGGGAGTGCCTTTTCCTCAGTAATGTAGGTCCTGCTTGGCATTTTCTTCCAAAACAGGCCTGTTTCGTCGCAATTAAACACTTGTTCAGGTTTCAGTCCTTCACTGTCTATGTAATCCTTGAATTCCTTCACATATTTTTCAGCTGCTTTTTGGTCCGAACTGGCAGCCTCACCATGCCTAATCACACTATGTATGCCACTACGATTCTTAAATCTTTCAAACCAACCTTTGCTGGCCTTAAATTCACTCGCATCACCACTATTTGCAGGCAATTTCTTTACCAAATCGTCATGCAACTGCCTAGCCTTTTCACAAATGATCGCTTGAGAGATGCTATCTCCTGCTATCTGTTTTTCATTTATCCACACCAATAACAATCTCTCAGCATTTTCTAACACTTGCGGTCGCTGTTTCGTAATCACAGTTGCACCTTTTGCAAGAACAGCTTCCTTGATTGCCGTTTTCCTGGTCACTATAGTAGAGATGGTTGATTGGGGTTTATTATACAACCTAACCAGCTCCGACACACGCACTCCACTTTCGTACTTTGCAATTATCTCTTTCTTCATTTCGTAAGTCATTAGCTACTTTTTTCTTGAAGGGTTGGCACTAGAAGCTTTCTTGGGGCCCATGGTGACTTATTTTGCAAAAACAAGCACCAAACACAGTGATAATATGGATAATATGGAATGTACCGAATGTATCCTTAGATGCACGCACACTGGCTGGCTTGTAAACACTGGCACACATGGGGCAGTTCAGGCCACACGTGGACAAGTCTCGTACGAATTGTATCGAATACCGGGTTTTCAATTGAATACCGAGGAAATTTTTTTTGCGATATAATGCATCGAATGCCGGATTTATCGAATACCGATGCCATCGAATACCGGGGGTCCACTGTATTTTGATTTTGGTCTGAAATCTTCAGCAGTACTGTACATGAGAATTAAAGGTCTTGGTTTATAAGGTAAGCAAATCTATAGGTCACATGCCTTTAAGCCCATGAAGAGCTCTAATATTTTTTTTTTTTTTTTAACTTGACTGCTTCTCATTTTCCTGTAACTTTGACTCCTATGGGCTTAAAGCACCCCCCCATGACTAATAATACAAAAGGACACCAAATAACATTCAAACTACAAACAGATATAGTATGTACATGTATAACCATTCCTCCTTAGGAGTGCAGGCACTGCATTTCCCACCTCCAGAACTCAAGTCCAGTTAATGGTATTTCTCCAAATCCCTACATAAATGTTGCCTCTATCACACTTGACATCAAACCCTAATATCTACTTATATCTACTCTGATTTAACAACACGTGCCTCCAGGATGGTCAGGCTTCTACCACTTAAGAGAACTTCAACCCTCTCCTTCCATCCTATCTTGCACTCGAATATTTCTACTGCCTCCAACCTCCACACTGCAACTTTTACAACCCATGCCTCACACAAGTGTTGGTACAGCTATACTCTAGGAATTTTTTTTTTTTAACCGCCTTGATAAACTTTTCTTGCATACTTGTCTATAACTACTTTTTTCCTGTCTATTCTTTTTGTTTACTTTGTCCTTTCATAGACCCACCTGCTGTTATGTCTGCTCCCAAATATTTCCACATTCACTTCCTCCACACTTCCAATTTAATATCCAGTACAGAACTTCATTACCTAAACTTAAATGACCATGTTCTTGTCTATATTCACTTATTTTACACACCCTCCTAAACTACAACAGTTTTAAGTGTCTTCAGAATCACCCAATACTACTCAATTCCCACCTAGTATCTAAACTCTTTTAACCCCTTCAAGGTCCAGCCCGATTTGAGAATTACTCTCTGGGTGCAAGAATTAAAAAAAAAAAAAATCTGATATGATAAATCTTTTTCTGAAGGTAATGAAACCAAGAGTACGAAATTTATGGAAAACTTGCGGAATTACGCTCTCATTAGGTTTGCAGTCTCGGCGATGTTTATACATTGGTGATTTTGCACACTTTTCAGCCAATTCCATTGTTCCAGTCGACGAAACTCAGTTATTTCACTAGTATTCCTTATATGTATTGATTAAGTACAAAAAACTGCCCATTTACCTATTTCAGCTACCCAATAAACTTGATTCAGAAATCAGTAATTTGGCCAGTTTCACACAATTAAAAAAATAGGATCTAGAATAAACCACGTAGACATTCCTGGCACTAAAAAAAAAAACTATTTCCTCTATTCATCAGTTACGTCCCCAGGCCTCTCATATATTATGCTTGCTTTCCATTTTGAATTTTTATTCACACAAAAAATAGAAGATTTACTATTATGCAGATTACTGCATTATTGTAATAACTGTAAATATCAGTGCATTCCTAAATGTGCATTAGATTGGCCAGTTGGACGTACGTATATTGGACGAGTGATGACATCTGTGTTTTCTGGAATGTCGGCAAAAATCAAATATTTCCGCTACTTTGAGGTCAATTTCAAGCTACTTTCAGTCCTGACACCAATCAAAAGCACCTATTTCTGTCTTCTATTCTATCAAATCAGACCAAGAAACTGAGAATATAACACTAAAATAAACATACAAAAATACACTAAGTCACTAGTTTAAATCAAAACTACCATTGCCCCTCCCCCTCCCTCCTGTTATGCACTGTGTGCTGCAGGATTTTTTCTGTTTTATATGGTGCACACTTACCACATAGCCCCATTCTCTCATATCTAGGCCCAAATTTACTGCTCATAGCTTACCTGAATACGGCACCGACCCCAAAAGGGTTAAATCTCTCTCTTTCCCAACAATCACTTTTTACATCTATATAAACATTTTAAATAACCAGGGTGACATAAATCCCTGTTTAGTGGATCAAGGAGTGCCTTAGGGAAAGGAAGCAATGAGTGACTTATCAGAAAGATGTCAGAATATGGGAGAGTAACAAGCAGGCTATTACAAGGATTGTTATTAGAACCAGAACCAGTGCTGTTTCTGGTTTATATGAACTACAAACCAGATGAAATTATCAGATGCATCTCTATTTACTAATGTAAAGCTAGCTAATAAGAACACAGATAGATCAGGATAGGGAAAAGGATAAAAAAAAGTATCTGAACAAACTGCAGGGTTGGTCAGATAAATGGCTGCTTGAAATCAACCCAAGCAATAAAGGTTATGAAGTTTGGGAAAGTGGCAAGATCAGACACAGTATAGACTTTGGGACAAAGGCTGTAGACCTCATTCAAAGAGAAGGATCTGGGAATAAGTATAATGCCTACTAGAGGGCTACTCAACTGGCAGCCCATGGTCCAAATCTAGGCTTCAGGAGAAAACTTAGTTAAATAACAGCTGTTGCCACGTTTGGGATCAGGTGGTACGCAAGAGCGGGATTAATACATTATTCTATCTGAATGGAATACAGTATTCTAGCATATTTAAATAGTGATATTTTCTTCCATCAATGGTAATTCATATTGGTAATTATCACTTGTGCAATGAAGTTGACTTTTTTGGCAGTTTGGAAAAAGTTTGGCCACACATGGGCTGAGAAGTCTGGCAACCCTCGTGCAACTTTGCTATTATTTTAGTCTAAACATGACTTCTAGTTTTTGGGTTTTTTAATGCTCCAGATATTTATTTCCATATAAAATGATTTGTTTTACTAAACCAGTCATATCTTTTTAAAGGAGACATGGCATGTTAAAAAAAAAAAAAAAAAAAAAAAAAAAAGTTTGATGATGAAAATCATTCCTTCAAGGAAGACTGGATACAGCATTATGCTTTCATTCTTCCCACAAGCAGTTCTAAGCCCCTTTGCCTCATATGTAGTGAAACAACTGCATACATTAGTACTTGTCCAAGTGGACCTTTGCTCACAGTAGTTGAGCAGCCCTGGCCTACTATATCGCCAGAGACTCGCATCAACCGAATAACCTCAAGAGCCAATGCTCGCCTAGCAAGTATGAGAGGTCTTCAGGAATGTCAACAAAAAATCAATTCTGGTGCTTTATACAATGTATATCAGACCCAAATTTGAGTATGCAGCATCAGTATGGAATACACACTTGAAGAACGTTAAGAAAATGGAAAACGTGCACACAAAATACTCAGGAATTGATAGGGCAGACAGGGACAGGCTGTTTGAGGCTAGAAGTGTGAATCTGATGAGCAGAAAGCTGAGGCCAAGAACTAAAACTACTCCTACAACCACATACAGGTGAATACTCATGTATGGGAGCTTAAATGTCCTGAGCCTCCATTACTTCCCTCCCCAGGAATACTTATATGAAATTGTCAGACTCCCTCAACATACTGAAAATCTCCAAGATGATAAACAATCTTTAGTTCTCACTGCAGAAGGCAGATTTAAACTAAAGACACCAGTCTCCAGCAGGGAGAAATGGATCAGAGCCTTACAAATAAAAAGGTATTGGTTTGAATCTGATTTAAAAGCACTGTAACCATTCATTTATTCAGCATTTTCAATATATGCAGTCATTGACAGCATCAATTTTCAACTAGTGACTAATTTACTATTACATTTCAGAAATTATCAACAGGAAAGCACAAGCCTATGCGAAGTCTTAGGAAGTTTGGGAAAGGAATGGCCTCTCAATGTCAAGTACATCAGCACTGAGAAACTCAGAACTCGTGTTCAATATCAAAGACCTACATTCTCCTATACATTATCTTGCCACTCACTACACATTTACTTCATCAAAAAATCACAAATCAAAATTAACATTTTATATTAAAATCTGTTGAATAACACTAACGAGAATATTTTGTAAACTAAATCAGAAAGAACCCTGCCCCACACTTTCTCATTGTCTTAACAAAGTTAACACACATGGAGTATAACATGTTAAAAGTCAGAAGAAAAATGAAGAACTGTCAGGAAGTCTCAGAATTTGAAATCAATTCCAGGATTAACTGCTGTATTGTTGTTCTGTTTTAAGTATCCCTATTGGGAAACAAGTGTAGACTACTGAGATTTCAACCATCAATTATGGTACAGTATCAAGTTACTAAGACTTGAGATAAATTTGTCTATCAATATTCTTTAACTAGCTGGATTGGAACACAATTATCATAAACAATTAAGCATACCTTCTTCCTGAAAATAGGCTTGGACTGGCCACCATATCCAGACTGTTTCCTGTCGTAACGTCGGCGACCTTGGGCAAATGCACGCTCCTGCAACACAATGGTTAGGTTAACATTAAAAAATACGCACATGTATTAATGTTGGTAGAATTACCAACAACATGTTAAGTAAAAGGACACAAGTGCAACTAATGCCACATTTTATTGCATTATTATTATTATAATCAAAAAGAAGCACTAAGCCACAAGGACAATACAGCGCTCCAGGGCAGGAAGGAAGTGAGGGCATCAGGTGGCAAAAGGGAGATGGACGAGTAATAGGTTACGGATAACAGCGGGGTAGTGGATGGTGAAAGGGTAAAGGGCAGCAAGAGACTGAACTAGAAAGGGCTGAGGGGAGTGCGAAAAGTATCATCAGAGTTTGTGGAGTAAATCAGTCGTTGTCGAGAAGTCAATGAGAGAGTCAGGATTAAAGGAGGGTCCATCAGCAAGAAGGGAAGGTAAAGAGAGAGTAGTAGAACGAAGACGACGTTGGAGGGAAATTCTGCATGCTCGTTGATAGAGAGGGCAGTCTAACAGAATGTGGCTAATCGATACTGGAACTTGACACTGCTCACAGAGAGGAACAGGGTGCCTCTCCATGAGATACCCATGAGTAAGACGAGTGTGACATTTTATTGCAGCATTAGTTGCACTTGTGTCCTTTTTACTTAACATTGAAAAATATGGTTTACAATACTTATCTACAACCTGACATTTGTATGATCTCACCCTGTTGGTGCTTCGATTTTATAGAAAATCTAAGTTATAAGTGGTTGTACGTATATCTCTTACTGCAAGAGTTTCCCCATCAAACACTTGGCTGAGCAGTAACATGTTACACGAGTATGAATCAGAATGTAATACCATAAGTTCAATAATTAAACAAAAAGAAGATTTTTGAACTACACTGCTTATACACAGAAGTGTATAAATTGTTCAACTTATATACATGTAAATTTTTCAACATATAAATCTTTCAACTTGTTCCTCAGAATAAATTCCTAGCAAACTGGGAACTTTTCACCTGTCACACAGGACCAAGTTACCTACACAAAACTCACATACCTGCCTTTATAATTTACACACTGTATACTTAAAACACACATTTTAGCCATTAATTAGAGAATCAAATACGTACATAAATGTCGTCAGCCACAAATGTGCCATCATGGTCAACACTCAACTTATTTATAACTCTCAATTCCTGGATATTTTCAAACCAGTAGGGAATATTAAAAAAAAATTTATGACCTAGCTCTTTCATTCTTTCCATAAAGTATATTCCAAAATGGGGATATAAGCTATGTAATTATTGTATGTATCAGTTAAGGAGCCAAGTGTTCCTTGCTCCCTTTAATTGATTCTTTTTTTTTTTTTTTAAGCTTTTGGGCTGTTTTAAATCATTTCATATTTTTTTCTATCTTATAAAAAAAAATTAAGTATGCATTTCTCTATATACTATTTTGAAGTTTGTCAAATGTACTAATTATGAATTTTCCCAGTCATTTAGGTAATTATCTGGCTATAATTTTTTTTTTTTTTTTTCAACAAGTCGGTCGTCTCCCACCGAGGCAGGGTGACCCAGAAAAGAAAGAAAATCCCCAAAAAGAAAATACTTTCATCATCATTCAACACTTTCACCACACTCACACATTATCACTGTTTTTGCAGAGGTGCTCAGAATACAACAGTTTAGAAGCATATACGTATAAAGATACACAACATATCCCTCCAAACTGCCAATATCCCAAACCCCTCCTTTAAAGTGCAGGCATTGTACTTCCCATTTCCAGGACTAAAGTCCGACTATATGAAAATAACCGGTTTCCCTGAATCCCTTCACTAAATATTACCCTGCTCACACTCCTCGATCGTCAGTCCCAAGTATCATTCGTCTCCATTCACTCCTATCTAACACGCTCATGCACGCTTGCCCGGAAGTCCAAGCCCCTCGCCCACAAAACCTCCTTTACCCCCTCTTTCCAACCCTTTCGAGGACGACCCTACCCCTCCTTCCTTCCCCTATAGATTTATATGCTTTCCATGTCATTCTACTTTTGATCCATTCTCTCTAAATGACCAAACCACCTCAACAACCCCTCTTCTGCCCTCTGACAATGCTTTATTAACTCCACACCTTCTCCTAATTTCCACACTCCGAATTTTCTGCATAATATTTACACCACACATTGCCCTTAGACAGGACATCTCCACTGCCTCAACCGTCTCCTCGCTGCTGCATTTACCACCCAAGCTTCACATCCATATAAGAGTTTGGTACTACTATACTTTCATACATTCCCTTCTTTGCCTCCATAGATAAACGTTTTTTGACTCCACATATACCTCCCAAAGCAAACCCCTCACCTTTTTCCCTCATCAATTCTATGATTAACCTCATCCTTCATAAATCCACCGCCGACACGTCAACTCCCAAGTATCTGAAAACATTCACTTCTTCCATACTCCTCCTCCCCAATTTGATATCCAATTTTTCTTTATCTAAATCATTTGATACCCTCATCACCTTACTCTTTTCTATGTTCACTTTCAACTTTCTACCTTTACACACATTCTCAAACTCATCCACTAACCTTTGCAATTTTTCTTTAGAATCTCCCATAAGCACAGTATCATCAGCAAAAAGTAACTGTGTCAATTCCCATTTTGAATTTGATTCCCCATAATTTAACCCCACCCCTCTCCCGAACACCCTAGCATTTACTTTTTTTACAACCCCATCTATAAATATATTAAACAACCATGGTGACATTACACATCCCTGTCTAAGACCTACTTTTATCGGGAAGTATTTTCCCTCTCTTCTACACACCCTAACCTGAGCCTCACTATCCTCATAAAAACTCTTAACAGCATTTAGTAACTTACCACCTATTCCATATACTTGCAACATCTGCCACATTGCTCCTCTATCCACTCTATCATATGCCTTTTCTAAATCCATAAATGCAATAAAAACTTCCCTACCTTTATCTAAATACTGTTCACATATATGCTTCAATGTAAACACTTGATCTACACATCCCCTACCCACTCTGAAGCCTCCCTGCTCATCCGCAATCCTACATTCTGTCTTACCTCTAATTCTTTCAATTATAACCCTACCGTATACTTTTCCTGGTATACTCAGTAAACTTATTCCTCTATAATTTTTACAATCTCTTTTGTCCCCTTTCCCTTTATATAAAGGGACTATACATGCTCTCTGCCAATCCCTAGGTACCTTCCCCTCCTTCATACATTTATTAAACAAAAGTACCAACCACTCCAACACTATATCCCCCCCTGCTTTTAACATTTCTGTCATGATCCCATCAGTTCCAGCTGCTTTACCCCCTTTCATTCTACGTAATGCCTCACATACCTCCACCACACTTACATTCTGCTCTTCTTCACTCCTAAAAGATGGTATACCTCCCTGGCCAGTGCATGAAATTACCGCCTCCCTTTCTTCCTCAACATTTAAAAGTTCCTCAAAATATTCTCGCCATTTACCTAATACCTCCCATTCCCCATCTACTAATTCCCCTACTCTGTTTTTAACTGACAAATCCATACTTTCCCTAGGCTTTCTTAACTTGTTTAACTCACTCCAAAATTTTTTCTTATTTTCATTAAAATTTCTTGACAGTGCCTCTTCCACTCTATCATCTGCTCTCCTTTTGCACTCTCTCACCACTCTCTTCACCTTTCTTTTACTCTCCATATACTCTGCTCTTCTTATAACACTTCTGCTCTGTAAAAACCTCTCATAAGCTACCTTTTTCTCTTTTATCACACCCTTTACTTCATCATTCCACCAGTCACTCCTCTTTCCTCCTGCCCCCACCCTCCTATAACCACAAACTTCTGTCCCACATTCTAATACTGCATTTTTAAAACTATTCCAACCCTCTTCAACCCCCCCACTACTCATCTTTGCACTAGCCCACCTTTCTGCCAATAGTCGCTTATATCTCACCCGAACTTCGTCCTCCCTTTGTTTATACACTTTCACCTCCCTCTTACTTGTTGTTGTCACCTTCCTCTTTTCCCATCTACCTCTTACTCTAACTGTAGCTACAACTAAATAATGATCCGATATATCAGTTGCCCCTCTATAAACATGTACATCCTGGAGCCTACCCATCAACCTTTCATCCACCAATACATAATCTAACAAACTACTTTCATTACGTGCTACATCATACCTTGTATATTTATTTATCCTCTTTTTCATAAAATATGTATTACTTATTACCAAATTTCTTTCTACACATAGCTCAATTAATGGCTCCCCATTTACATTTACCCCTGGAACCCCAAATTTACCTACTACTCCCTCCATAACATTTTTACCCACTTTAGCATTGAAATCCCCAACCACCATTAGTCTCACACTTGATTCAAAACTCCCCACGCATTCACTCAACATTTCCCAGAATCTCTCTCTCTCCTCTACACTTCTCTCTTCTCCAGGTGCATACACACTTACTATAACCCACTTTTCACATCCAATCTTTATTTTACTCCACATAATCCTTGAATTTATACATTTGTAGTCCCTCTTTTCCTGCCATAGCTTATCCTTCAACATTATTGCTACTCCTTCTTTAGCTCTAACTCTATTTGAAACCCCTGACCTAATCCCATTTATTCCTCTCCATTGAAACTCTCCCACCCCCTTCAGCTTTGTTTCACTTAAAGCCAGGACATCCAGTTTCTTCTCATTCATAACATCCACAATCATCTCTTTCTTATCATTTGCACAACATCCACACACATTCAGACTTCCCGCTTTGACAATTTTCTTCTTCTTATTCTTTTTAGTAATCTTTACAGGAAAAGGGGTTACTAGCCCATTGTTCCCGGCATTTTAGTTGACTTTTACAACACGCATGGCTTACGGAGGAAAGATTCTTATTCCACTTCCCCATGGATATAAAAGGAAAAGTAATAAGACCAAGAACTATTAAGATAAAATCAAAGAAAACTCCGATGAGTGTGTATAAATAAAACGTGTACATGTATGTGTAGTGTGACCTAAG